TTTGCTCAGAGAATCCAAAAATGCAATAATATATAGGGTATTTCATTTAGAAAAACACAACTTTGATACTTTTAGGACTTTTGGGACACTCTGTACATTACAAAAATATTTTTAAAATGTGCACCCGATAGGCGTCTGTGGATTCATCAAATAATACTTTGCAAAAAACAAACGGGCTAGCCGCAAACGTCCGTGCCGTATAGCGTGAATAACCCTGTAAAAAATTCAACCGGGTTATATTTATGGGCATAAAATGAAAGCACATTACGGCAGAAACTTTTACAAAAATGAAGAATTAATTTTTACATTGGCCTCTTTTATTGCTTGAGAGATAATAGTCGTGCTTTTGAAAATTTTATTTAATGATGCATGTACAAGGTAAAGTTTCATATTTGGTAATATTGTTTAAATTGTAATAAGCAAAAGGGGTGCATTCAGTTTGGGTTCGCGTACTGGACAGTAAGGCCTTGTGGGCCCATTCCAAAACTGTGATTCAAGCGTTCACAAAAAAATTAAGGTTTAGAAAAATGAAAAACGACATTATGGGGCGCTCTCTACATATAATAGTATGACGAACTTGGACTTGCTGATGTTACAAAACCTGCAAATACGTTTCGTCTAAGCCAGTAAGGCCATGCACAAAAATAGCTATCAAATTTTAATTTTTAACTGTAAAAACAGTATATATGTATGCACAAAAATAAAATACATCCAAAAGCTCTCACCTAGCCCACTGTCCAAACTCCTTGCACTCCATAGAGCACTGGGAACCACATTTGGATGCTTTACTTGGGACACTCTCCTAACGTGTTGTTCCATGGGAGTTGGCTGGTAATGTGGCTGGTGGTACCCATAAATCGGCTGGTTGTGAATTATTTGCTGCTGCTGTTGCACCTGTTGTTGGTACTGTTTGCAATTGGGTTGGTGAAACTTTTTTCTTGTCAGCTTCGCAACAAAGTTCGGAATTCGAGCCTTCATTCCACAGTAGTACGGATCGTCTAAAAGATTGGTAACAAAATAGATTTCCAAAAATCTGATTTATCGCTAATCAATGGACTTACCCGGTTGCTTTTTAAGTTTTTTTACTTTATTTTTGTGTTTTTTTGAAGGAATTCTTCTAATTGAGCTCGCCGGTGGTTGCTGTTGATATTGCTGGTAATCCGGCTGAAATTCGTCATTTTTATATACTGGTTTTGAGATTAACATTATGAGCACCTTACCTGGGGAATATTGCAAGGCTCTAACTTCTTCCTTGGGGGCAACTCTGGAGGATTGTTCAATTCTCGTTTGCCGCTGTCTCTATGGGTTCCACTGCTATAACTTCCCTCGTTACTACTAGAATTACTGCTCCCGTTGACGTGATTATCCGTTGAAAGTTTTCCGTTTTTTGCGTTGGCACACACTGAATAATTCTCTTCTTCTAAAGGAAGAGTTACTGGTAAGCTTTGAGGACTATTTGCGGTTTCTGAAAGTATCTTCGTTATTAATCCATTTAAAATTTAATTACACGTATTTACCTAGAGGTATTTGCGACTTTAACATATCAATAGCTACCATATTAATAATTAGCATCCATATAGGAGACTTTAGAAGGTCTGAATCGTTTTTAACAAAACAGATGGCACTAAGACATTGATTCTCTAATCGCCTTCTATTCGGGTATGACCGTTTCAGCTCATTTGTTACATTTATCTAAATAAGGGTAAACATTAATTATCTAGCAATTAACCGTATATGATAATTTACTTGAAATTTATTCATGTCAAACAGAGTGAAAGCTTTGTTGGCTTCTAATGCTCCATGGGAAAGTTTCAGAACTTCGTTTGATATGGCACTTTCTTCATCCAGGGTGGTACGCCTGATGAAAACGTTGGCTCGAGACAGTCGCTTTATAAGAATATTGCCGTCTTCGTCCATTTTGATTTTTACGCCCTTTAAAGAAATATTGTTTAATTATGCAGTTTTAACTATCTAAATCGCAAAACATGGGCAATTTTTGCGCTTGAAAGACCATCTAAAGAACCTTGTGCGCGATTTTTTTTAAACAGTTCATCAAAAGCTGGTAAACCGGCTGAAATCATCTATCAGACTCGATAGAAAATACTTAGATATTTTTTATGCAATTGAACAAATGAAATACTTTTATGATAATCGTACACATCCGCATCTCCTTTTACAAAACATCAATAACTCCTTGCTATCAAAGATAGGTATCCATTGAGAATGTATGTATGTGAGAACGTGGGTCTGGTGTTTTTCCCGCAGATTATGCAATTGACGCCCAACTACAACCCACCTAAGAAAAACCATCACTTCTGACAAAATATCACCATGAGCAACTAACTGGTTTGCATCAGTTTCATTGACTCCCGAAATGTTGGAAAAACCACATAAATAACCCATTCAAAACACATTAAGGAAAACCTAGCAGGAAACATGCTCGTGAATGATACAAACCAAGCAAGAAAAGTGCGAAACTTCACACATTTCATGATATTGTTTCTACAATTAGGCAACCTTTGGTATTTTATGTGCTAATTGCTGTGCTAATGCCACGCATTTGTTGTTTGATCTAAAAAAATGCTACTATGGAAAATTAGATTAGATGCCATGTGTAAGCGAGAAATTCGAAAAGTCGAGTAAGTTCCATTTATTTAAAAAATAAAATCACCACTGTATTCCTTAGCGACCGCTTTAAAATAGAAATTCCCTGCTGATTTCTGTGGAACAGAAACAAACATTTACATGTTTCCAACCAAGTGAAAATTGTTAAATGATATAAGCAGGGCGCTAGAAATCTTGAGCATATTTGTCGTTTCGTTCACAAATAGTACAATTTTTAAGAAAATTACCAAGCACACATTTATCGCCAGTCTGTTAAAGTTTTTGGTAAAAATTTAGCGGCACGATCAAAACCATGTTCTTGTTTAGGCATTTATGTTTGAGGAACTAGTGAAAAAACTTTTTCAAACATATTAAGCATTAAATGCAAAACTCCAAAACACTTTTTGCATACCACAATTGTTGGAAACAATGATGCAATACCAAACACCACGAAACTTTCATTTGAATTAAATCAGCTTCATTAAACACTAAATCATAACTAATTGAAATCCTAAAAAATACGTAAAGATGAAGATTCACTTTCGTTCAGAAAGTATTAGTATTCGCAGCGGATCCTGGAATATGGAATGTTTATTGGTAGTTGACATTTTAGCAAAATACGTGGGAATAGCCATGATGTTAGAATGCCATAATGTTAGATGAAGAATGCGGTAGTCGCGCTTAAAACTGCATTTTTAATTGTAGGAGTGCTGTAGTTAGCCGAAGCAGTATCAAGTCGATAAATGTTTTTCAGTGATGTTTAATAAAATCCTGACTAAAAACATTAAATAGTCGGACGCGAAATTGTAATTGTAACTTAAATAACAATAAACTTACATGACCTATATGTCTCCTGCATTCTTCAGTTTTTTTGTCTCTTAAAGGATTCTCAAAGCCTGATAATCCAATTCTGGAAATACAACAAATAAGACTTAGTTAGCATTTTATATAGTTACCAATATTATATATTGAGCTTTGATCAAATCAGCTTTGAAAACATGAACATCTAAATCTAAAAACTGCAACAAAACTGCTTTATTTTCAAAGAAGTTCCCTAATTTTCACCATTTATTGGGCACTTCATCAATGCCATTTTTACTACTGAAACTTCGTTGTGCCATCTTTTGCCATAATGGTACCAAGCCCGTTTTCAGAAAAGACAATATTAAGTTTTGGAGACGCTACAGCCCATATAATTCAAACACTGAACAGTTTGTGTTTTTAAAATCAAATTACCTAAATCCGTCAAATCCGGAATCTGAACCATTAACAGTCAAAACTGGTGCTCTGGCATAAGCTTTCGCTACTCGTCGGTTTCGCTCCAAGACTACAACTTTAGCCCAAATTTCATCATCAATTTGATTCCATTTATTTAGCACCTCTTGAATGTGATCCTGCAATAAGATACTGTTGATGAAATAATTTCATAACCCTAGGTAACAATATATTGTTCTGATATTTAAATATCTAATATATTAGGAAGAGAATCTAGTTTAAACAGTTGATTTCGGATTTATCGGAATCGAATTCGGATTTATCGGGAAGTTGTTAAAACTGTTGTCTATTTTCCTGTAAACAATGATAAAGTCTATTTTCGAACCCTCCCCAACATTGATAAGATATTCCCGGATAGATCGATTGGCAGAAGGGGACCAATTGAATAACCGTCAAGATCACCGGATTGAACACCCTTAGACTTCTTTCTTTGGGGACAGCTTAAGTCCATTGCTTATAAAATACAACCTGTTGATGATATTGATGATCTTAAAAGGCGAATTGCAGCAGAATGCCCGTCAATTTCCTGTAAAGTCTTCCGAAAAGTTAGGGCGGAGTTTGGAAACAGACTTTATTATTGTGTAGGTTCAGCAAACTGGACAACATTTTGAACAATTTAATAAGATGATATAAGTTTGATTGTAAAAATTTTGTTTCCGCAAATAAAAAGTTATTTATATTGCTACCACGTGCAGGATTTCCTTTGTTACATTATCACTTTATTGTATTTATTTCCTAGTATTACCGTTGTATTCCACATACTATCAACTTTTTATTGATTTAAATAATTGTTTGAGATCTGCAGCCTGTGACATTTTACCTTTCAGGCTGAATAGCAAAATACAGCCATTAATTTGAATTAGAAAAAGGTACAGATGCGGGACTGTATAAATCCATTTTAATCGCCAATATTCGCAGAGAATAAGGCACCAAAAGAAAAAAAGTGTACTTTTAATAACAATTAATTATCTACTCTTCACTAGTCGGTAAGTTTTTGCTCACCGGAATCTAATCGCGTGATTTACCGATGTCTGAAGTAAACGTAGGTAAGTTATACCACAATTTATCACACAACAAGATTTGCGGTCGGACTGACCGCAAACATTCTGAATTTATACATAAGCTTAATCGGGTTGAACTTAAAGATTTGGCATAAAATGTCTAGTTTATATTAAATGTTAATATCTTAAACCCCAATTTGAATGTAAATAATACAAGGCAATAACAATTAATAAAAAATTCCATTGCCTAAGCGCTTAATGTTTTGCTGTTACACATTATTAATGCGACCTTGCGAATAATTTTGCAAGTCAAAAGAGGAACGGTGCTGGGTACGTGAAGTTGAGTAACTCTTTCGATATCGTTTTAACATTTACGATACCCGTATATAGGGTGAAACCATCCACAATATCGAAACCAATTCTTCTGAACGTCAAATTAAACAAAATCTGTAAGTTTATAAATAATAATTTACTTGGCTTTTCTACTGAAGATACATTTCGCCGAGAAAGTTTTATACTTTAAGGGTTTGATTATTTAAATTTACCAATTGTTTGACCGTAAATATGATTGCCTATATAAAAAGTTTAATTGGTATTTGCCAGATTTTTGCCTGGTCCAGGAACCGCCTAAGTGGAAGAGCGCCTTGAAAAGCAACATAATGTATCTTCCATCAGCATTTTGGAGCAGCTTCTTTATCACTTGCACTTTTAAAATCAGTTAATTAAGTCAAAATGAAAATTGTATTTCGAAAAGTTTGCTTTTTCAAGAATGAAAGCACTAATATCGAGATAAATTATTTAATCTCTTCAATTTGCAATTGCTGAAAAAACTTTAAATACAAATGCAAGTAATCGCGAAATTGTGTAAGGATATGGGCTGCTTTAAAAATCACCCTGTACATCACTTCCGTAAATTTGCATTTAATTTCGCTTAATGTCAAACGATTATCAAGAAACGCGTTGCAGGATTTTGCCCGATCGTTACGGTTGTTTCATCATAAAATATATTAAAATATTCAATTGCGACTATTCAAATAATGCCACATTTAAGTCTTTGCAATTGATGAAAATGTCACATTGAAATCACATAAAAATTCCTGCATTACGAAATAAAACCTCTTAGAAGCTTGTAGATTTCACTACTCATCTATGCGAAAGTTTCGCTTTATTCACACAGGGTAATTGGAACATGGCTTTTAAGAATTAATTACAATTTTTTCCAGTTTCACATACCTAGGCCGGCTTAGATTTATTGAATTGTTAAAATATAAATAAGGAAACACCGTTCTTTGTTTCTATATTCGGTATTTTCCTGCACTATTAATACGTCCATTTTTAATGGTTGGTAGACACCCGATAACCATTAACTGCTTTTTCTTGGACGAATACCCTCCAAATATTTACCTTAAACAGTTTTTCTTTTTGGTACCACACATCTTCGGAGTCTTCAGGTTGTGGGTTGGATAGTAGATTGATGTCATCTCGAGATTTCGATAAAATCTTCTTCCGCGACACCATAATTTGATAAGAGCTGAAAGTAAAAAATATTTGGATCAAAATATAGTGCGTATTTCGTTGAGTAATTTATGTTGATCTCTTTGGTAGCTAGTGYAGTTATACAATAAATGTGTCACACATTTTCCGGAGTAGGATAGTAACGTTCAAAAGTAATTTAAAAGGTTGATGTGAGTTGTGATTAAACATTTCTTACTCAATCACATCATCATAACTACAAATTTTCCTTATCCGAGGAACTGCAGAACACAAGGAAATATCGTTTCCCAAAAACTACGCCAATCGGAGTTATGCACTTTGAATTTGAACAGGTGTTGAACACCCTGAAAAGCATATTTGACATTTGCACGTTGGTCTCGAAAATATTAGCAAAAGAGAATGTTAACCAAATGGCAACGTTAAAAGATCATGACTTCATATTATTCAGATTATGTTCTTGAATGGTACATGGTGTCCCATTTCGGACACTTTTAATTCCGTAATTATTAGTGCTATCAAAAAGGTAGTATAGGTGTTTTGCACAATTTTCTGATCAAATTTAAAATGGTACATTACAAAATGCACTAAACGAGATGTAAATGGGAGACCGTCAAATTGAAACTGCTCATCATCTAGCCAGCATTAGCGATTTTAAGCAGTCTAATCATGGTCTTACAATGACTACAAAAGATTTACAATTACTCCACACAATATTTCACATACTGTATACATTGTACAATGTGAATATAAGCGTTGGCTAATTGATTCAATCTTGCTGCTGTGTGTGTGAATGGACTGCGCAATCTATGCTACTTTTTTTCCAGATTTCAGATTGTACTGTATTGATATCACATCTCAAAGAGTCATCATCAATTTTGTAATGTTAGCGGAAGAACGAAGATAAGTTCGAAATTTTAGAATACAAATTTTATTGCGGAAAATGCGAAGCATTTTTTGTTACAGTTAAATGAAGAACCACAAAACCGTGAAATTGCTGTGATGATTGCAACAAAATAATGTTTTCAGATTAATGGGAAATCGAGCCTTAGTAGCATCCACGCAGTTCCACCTTGAACAGATATTGCAAAAGGAATTACATTTAATTTTCAGCTAAGACAACTTCTTCCGGTAAATCTCATAGAGTATCTGCATCTCCAATTGAAGCAATTAGTACCAAACTTTTAAACAGTAAATATTTCGCAGACGGTAAATATTGGCGCAATGAATAAATTGCTAAAACTTAATTTGTGTGAAATAAAATGGTTTTTTTATTACGTTGCATGTCGTAAAGTATCCGAATTGGTAAATTATCATATGAATAAACAAAATCCTTTTAATTAACCAATTCACCTTCACAGTCACAATGCTGAGACCTTTCAATGTTTTCACAACACGTATCTACTTATTTCACTCTAATCTGAAATATATGTGTCCCCTTTTTAAGCAAATTGAAATTGAAATGTTCAAAATCTGCGTAAACCGGTTGGTGGGTTACATAAATTTGAATTAACTCTGTAATGATTATTAAAAACACGGCGTAAGAGTGAAAGTCGCCATAGTATTGGTGTTGAATATGTAGTAGTCATGTATATGGCGGATCATGTAACTAACAACATTGAAATTAGTTGAGATACACAGGAAGAGATAAAACAACTTGTCTGTTGCAAAGACCGGGGCCATCTAGGTCGAATTATTTGATATAATGCAATATGGCTTATCAATGTTAAATGGGGAGATAACTACATAATGGACACCAGACGAAAAGCAAAATAATATTCAAATTTAAGAAGTTTGACGACTGAATGGTTTAATGGTGTTGCAAGTTTAACCAGCAGACCTGAAGAACAGTTCATCTGGAAAAAATTGAATCTGTGCTTCTTGTTTTTTGGTTTGGGCAAGCGTCTTATCGCATGCGACTGTTATTGTCGACAATAAATAACAAAGGTGTGCGTTTTTAATTGTAACTTTGATTCAATAAATTGCATTAAATTTTACGCTTTATCAGAAAAAATTCAACGTTGAAGTCTCCACTTAGAATGAATGATAATTTATGATAGTTTTGGCCAAGTAAACTGGAGCCATTCCGCCAGGCCGGTTGTCCTTTGGATGCGTTCTAGTCTGAACTGCGTTCGTCAGAAATCATGCGAAAAGGAACGAATGATCCAAATTTTTTGCAACGTACTCCAGTATGTTCTGTAGACTTCGCGTTATCCCATAACTAATACACTGCTATTTTTATCTGTTTTTAAAGTAGATGCAGATGAAAATAATATTTGCATATAAATACTTTCTACATTATTTAGGTGTATATGCAGCAAAGCTTGTATTCTAATATGTTTTTACTTAAAAATAAATTTCATGCAAAGGGTTTAATAAAACAAGACGTAGATAGTATTAGGCCACTAGATGTGCGCACTTGGACTCGAAGCAGAAAAATTATTTGGATTTGCCTATTATTTGGTTCAAATAGCACATGGAATAATTTGCGTTTTAAAGACGTATTAGAAAGCTATAAAATTGATGCAATGATGTTCCACTAGAGGGTTTAGTGACCTATTTATCTAAAGTAACTAAATTATTAAGTATTTCGTCAACTGTAACAATACCAATTTAAGTGCAATATTATAAAACAGATTGAAATGTAAGTAAATCCGTGTGAAATCATCTTCTGGGTCTTACTCCATCTGCACGCTGATATAATTAACTGAGCAACCCATTAAGCTGTGCTAATACCGGTATTTAATTTTTATGGTAATAATATCTTCTTTCAGCAAAAGGAAAGGTTAATTTAGAGAAGTAAAATTTGAAAAAATTGGAATAATAATATATTTTACAACGAGAGATTTTATGTTTAAATTCGCAGCATATTTAAACTTATACATACAAATACATGACGATAAAAAGGTCAAAGGTGAACTTGAATTAAAAATGAAGAAAAAACGAAAAATTTTAAAAGTAGTCAAATTTTTATTTTGATATGCATTTTTATCACAATGCAGATTTAACTGATGCATGTAAGTTGTTCGTGTCTAGTCGGGCTGATAACATCGCCATCAAACAAAGATGGTTCTGTGGTCAAGTTGATCCAAATCCTAAACGCCAGATTATTTTATAATTTGTTCTTAAAATTCAACAACAACAACAACAACATTGATTGAGTTTATATAACTAAATATAAGTTGTCATTTTCAGTTCAAAAATTCTCAATTTTCCAAGCTTGTCTAATAAATTTATACAAGTTAGATTCGGTTTGCTTACGTGACGACTTTAATGAGCTTTCATGGAATGCATACGGAATTATAATATAATATTACATATTTAATACCTTTGGACGTTTCCTAATACCGCCGTCTAGCGCCTAATTGTAAATTATCATTCACTAATTCCCCAATCCATTCTAGTTCAATTTCTAATCTGCTGTTGTGTTTCCAAATATTGCCTAGAAAATATAGTAAACGAAAACATGCACTTAAAGACGCTGAATTTTGAAAAATGCATCTTCCAAGCAACGATTTTGGGAAAATTTTCAAGCACACAAAACAAAAACACGAGAAAATCTGCTGGCAGGTTGACATAGTTATGCATTTAATTTTACTGAAAAATTATTCAATCATCAACATCATTTGAACTCTTAAATTTTGTAAATACTTCTGTCAAAATGGCACTGTTACCTAATATTTAAAATCGTTTGTTTCCGTTTTTCATTAACCATCTGACAAGCTAAAAACACACTAATTATTCCTACATCTCCTTACCACCAACAGCATACTCAAATCGGGAACTAATTAATGCAAGAAGCATTATATTCATACAATGTTCGTTTTCTGTTAGTAGTTTGTGTTGCTAATATGCGAAGATATTACCAATTAATTGCTTCATCTAAAAACCGTGACTTGGATAGTTAAAATTTTGCTACTAAAACATCATTAAAAGAATAATAAGACAAATAACTCCTTTGTATTTCCATCTTGACCTTTTCACCTAATTGGTTCAACACAAACATACTAATTATTTTGTAATGCATATATCATAGGGTCGATAATAGTAATTAAGTAACTTTAAAGTGAGATTTAAGTGATCTTTAAAGATATTTTGAAATGTAGTGACCCCACTTAATGCGAATAATGACATTCTAAATAATCAAGTGTAATTACTATATATTTATTACAATAATGGAATATACATTTATTAATAAAATTATTGAACATAAATGTAACCAGTGTCAGCATTTTATTACGTTTCAAACTGAAACAAAGGTTTTTTGGAGAAACGCATTAATTTTGAGTTTAGGAACAGCATTTAAGTAGGTTTGGCGATCAAATCAGTGAACAATTACTTTTCTAATTAATATTAGATTTAGATAATAAAAATAAATTTAGATTAATTTATAGCAAAAAATTATGGCCATATTTTGAGATGAAATTAATGATAATTCATGGAAGATACTTAAAATGTCAGTTAAATATTGTTAGTAGACCATATTTCACCACGAGACATGTCTAAGGCCGGCAGAACATTCTAAATGTGTAGATTAGAAGAAGATCGTTATGAATAGAGGCTTCTTCATTTGCAAGACCTAATTATCAGGTTTTTCTAAGTGTTTATAAAAGTTGACCAGGCTTTTATAGGTTCTACTAGTGGCTACTGGTTCCAATGTTCAACAGAAT